CAGTTTTGGCAATGAACCTTACAGTAGCCTAAGTATCTCACCCTTACGGCACACTGTGAACAGTGGATTCCTTAGAGGAAAGAGACTTGGGAATCACTGTGGTTAGAGCTAACTTAAGATTTATCTCTAGAGTGCAGCAGCAGTTAACAAGATGCTAGAAGGCACAAAAGAAAGGGGAGGTAGTACAAAGCTGGGAACAGATTCTGAGTGTTTATATCATTAGAGGCCTCACAGACATTTCAGACTGTTTTAATTCTACTGTGAAATATTTTCCTTTTGACTTCTTCATGTGAGGTACGTTATTATTTACAACTCCATAATAAAAGTCCATAGTTCCATATTATCTCTTACTAGGATTCCCAAAACATCTCACAGCATTAAATAAAGCTTAAATGGACAGGAATAATTTTAAATTTACTATTGTGGACTGCAAACAGATGTCAAGAGAACTATATGCGTAAGTAGAGATGAACGTGAATCTGCGTAGAAATATTGGGTATTAAATCTTTCCATTATTCATATGAAATGGGAAAGCATTGTTTTTATTAGTATTATTATTTGCAGAAAGTAGTAAAATGAACTTGTTCAAGGTCATGGAGAATTAGATTAATTGGTACATTCTGTCCTACATTTCAAAATGTGGGGCCATGTGGTGAGAGGCTATAAATCTTTAGATCTTCAAAGTAATCTGAATTGCAATTTATACCCATGAAACTGATTCCCTCACTTTTCCAGATTTCTCTGACCACTATTTATTGCAGAGCTACAATGTTTAATTATTTAATCGAACACTTTCTCCCCCATCAATTTCTCTAACAGTTGTTTATACTCCTCGGAATAGCTGTGTCCAGTGAGATTACTTTATCTTTCCAGAACAGAAAGTCAAAAGCTATAGGGGAAAATACCAAGTTAATAGGAAGTTCTGAGCACAATTAATGTGTAGGAGAAAAAAAAGAAAACCAAAGAACCCCAAACCTGAGAACTGTACCCAAACTAAAAGCCTCTGTTGTTATTGCCAGAAAGTAACGGGTAAGTTAACTATGGAGAGCAGAAGTGTTCATTTTTAAGAATATAATGAAGAGATGCACATAGGGCTCTTAGGACAGAATAAATGTACCTACAGCAGGACAGTAATGAACAGTAGGCACAGTAATCAATGGTAGCATCAGTACGTGCACTGGCTTGCAGCCATGCTGCCTTTACCCAGAAACAGATAGATTCCATTTAAGCAGGACTGAAGTGAGTCAGTGGGTAGACAGCAGCTTCCTAAAAGGAATTATGGTGCTGACAGAAAGGATAGTCTCAATTCAACAGGAAGCATTCTCCACATGAAATTACTGTTAAATGAAAATCCAGTGTTTGATTTACTTTCAAACATTATGTCAAAATGAAGGTGTGAAAGATATATTGTAATATTTATTCATGAGTAAGCAATTTAATTTGATGTCCCTGATGTCCAACTCAAAAACCTCTATCTGTCCTCTCTAATAAAGTTTTCTCAGTTGTTTCAGTCAGTTGGAGGAAATTTTATTTTTCTCTTTTGGATTATGATACAATGTTTCTATATAGCAGCCATTATTCACCCAAAAGAGTTTCATTTCAGTGGTGGTGAAGTAAGTAATCCCTGTAACCATTATTTACCTGCCGGAGTTGAGAGGCTTAGCCAGTGTTTGCCAAGCATCTGAGATGTCTGAAGAAAGGTTACAATAGGTCACAAGGTTACTATAAATCATGGAATATCCTGAGCCAATTCCTGCCCACAAGTCTGGTACCTCTTCCTATCGGCAGCCCCCTGGTTTCACAATCAAACGAGTTTTATTCCCTCTTTATTCTATGTAACACTACCACCGTCTGTTTACAAAGCTTAAATTCAAAATCATTCTGAGAAGATTTTATAGCTTCCATAACCAGTGTAAGAGTTCCTTGTTCTCTGGGTGGTTTAACTGGAGAGGACTTCAGGCTACTCAAGGGTCATGGCCAGATCAACAGACAGCTAAAGAGGCCAGTTTCTTTGCAATGCCTTTTTTAACGGAAATGGAAGTACTGCTTACTTCCTATCTTCTTCTGCCCCCTAGTGAGCTTTGATTTTCACTCCACCTGAACAATCGTGGCTGCTTTATAACTTAACATGCACACAGAAGTGCTGAACCACCAAACTCGTTTCTTTTTACATCCTTTAGAAGCATTCTTCGTATCATTCTCCACTAAACACGTCAGAAACCAAAGAGCCTTTTCTAGCCCTACAGTGCTAATATGCAGGAAATGATTTTTACTGAACAGGGAAACACT